CATACATGCATACATACAATGTCACATTCACATACACATTAGGATGAAAAAGACTCTTGATTTTCTTAACGACCATAAACTTAAGGAATATTTGGATGTATATACAAATATGTAGTTTTCTGTATCTATTTATGTATAAACATATAACCTATCTGTGTGTGTGTATATATTTATAGTTTCTTATAGCAGCAGAAAAAACTACCACACACTTCTAGTGACTTAAAACAACACCTGTTTATGAACATGGAGTGTCTGTGGGTCAAAGGCCAGGAGTCTGGAAATACTCTAACTGGATCCTCTGTTCAGGGGCTGACAAGACTGAAATCAAGATGTCAAGCAAGCTCAATTAAGGAGGGATCCACTTCTGGGCTTCCTCGGCTTACTTGCACAGGTCATTTCCTTTTGGCTGTAGAATTCATTCTTCTTCCAAGTTAGCAATGAAGAGAGAGCATTTGCTGCTTCAAGTCGATAGAACATTTGAAGTAACCACGTAGTACCAGGAAAGTTGTCTTGTCACTGGACACACAGATGCACTTCCAGCCTGTGAGGCTTAACATGCCTCCTGGAAAATAGCAGTCATTCAGTGAACATGTGTTGAACAAGCGAATGAATGAGAACATAAAGGAGTAAGAAAACAACATCTTTTTTGAGTCCCTATATGGTATTATGTCAATTCTCTACATACGTAACAATCAAGATGGAATATTTAATCTGCCAAAAAAAAGAAAAAACAAATCAAAATTTAATTCCTGCGTGGACTGATTCTCAAAATGCTTTAAAGATGCCTTTTACTGGTACCCTGCATAGAAACTGTATGTTCGAACTATGTGATTTACTGGTGGTTTTGGAACTGTTGTCTGAATCATTTATACCTATCACTATTGAATCCTTTGTTTCTATTTTTCCTTAATCATAAAATATGGAGAAGGTGAAATCATTATATTTCATAGACAACAGAAGACCAAAACAGGTCATGTCACTTAACCCAAGGACACACAGCAAGTAAATTCATCCAAAACTGAGAAAATAATCTTCCTTCTAGGTTATGGCTCTAGGTTGAGGTTTGCAGACCACAGCAAACAGTGATGGTGGTCTAACCTGACAACAGACTGAAATTAATTTAGATTATGCAATTTTGGTATATAGGGAATGATCATATTGGATGCAAATGGGTGGGGGAGGAAAAGAACCCAGGGAATTGAATTGCTTTGCATTATTCAATGTGTCTCCCTATGTTTACAATAATCTCTGGGTCTTTCTCTGACTGGCCAGAGAGTAGTTTCTTTCTGGGGGTTGCCTTTGCTGGAACATGGAATCTGGTGTGTATGCGTTATTAGTTCTCTGTGGCAGGCTGGATGGAGGTGGCGATTGTCAACACCAGGGATGCTTCAAGTATGAAATAGACGTGCAAGTGGAGTCACAAAACTTAGCTATGAATGAAGCAAAATTTAAAAAAAGTCTTCTTGGGAAAGGCAATGAGTGGCTCTGGGGAGAAAGAAGAGAATATCTTATTGTCTTGCTTTGGCATATAATTTAGGTTGGGAATCTTGTCCTTAAGTTATTTATGTTCAGAGCTAGCTATTGTGACAAGATCAGGTTTTCCAGATGTTTCTTCTGATGCTGACATTTTACTGAGTAAGGATAAGGGACCTGCTGTATTTCTCCTACATCAGTGGCTTCTGGACGTGCTTCAGCCCAGAACATACTTGCCTTCCCTTCCTCAACCTTCCTTTGTGGCCAACCTCAGCCCACACAGCAGAGCAGTGGTGGTTACCTGTTTATCTTCAGCTAGCAGACAAAAACACCTTACCCTTTCCAAACTAACTTTTCCCCTTAAAGGAAAACCTAAGTAAGACCTTGTAACTTGCATCTTTCTCAAAACAGAGAGGAATATCAGGAAATTTGCAAGGTGAAAAAAAAAAAACAAAGAAAAGGCAGATTTCACTCTAATTATCACCAGTAGAGCTGCTAATTAAACTGGGAATGAGACTGTGGAGTCGTAGAATTGTAAAATAGCAGAGGACCTTGAGGGCTGTCTCATCCAACCTTGAACTCAAAGTGGGAATCTCTTGTCAGAAATCCTGCTTGAATACCTCCAGTAGTGATAGGGGTGCTTCATCTCAGGTCAGCGTGCTCCCTTTTGATAGAGCTCTAATTGGTATGAGATTCTGCCCTCAAACCCTGCCTGAGGCAAGCAGACATATAAAACATTTTATAAATGACACCAAGTCCTGGGGTGGGAAGGAAGGAGCAGGAAGAAAGGAAGAGCCAGCTCCTCCCGACTCACTAAGCTGGCCCTTCTGGGCGGGTAAGATGTCAAGAAGAAAAAGAGGCAGGAGAGCTAGCAGAAGAGGAGAAATGATAGTGCTCCTCACGGTGTTCAGCAAGATCGACTAGTTCAAGGGATCCCTGCCCCCCTGGCAGCTTTGGGATTAATTGGCTGGATGTCAGTCCCGTGCTGCAGGCTTATTGTTGCTTTTGTGGATGGGAGATACAAAATACAAAGTCCAGCATCCCTCTGCTTCTGTCCCACAAACGCAGGCAGATACACGGCCCTTATCTTGGCAGGCCCAGGACAGCACAATGACAGATAGGATTAGGTTTCTGCCAAGGAGTGCCAGCTCTTTGAAAGCAGGTACCTGGAGGGTTAATACCCTGCCTCAGTGCCAATCAATGAAACATTATATTTATGGCTTCCCAAAGAAGGTGGGATATTTTGAAGGTTCACAAAGCTGCTTCTGTGATTAATGCTCTGTGCCTCAGTGAATGATAATTGTGTCTAGGAGTTCTTACTGACAAGCCCTTTTGCCAGACATCACTGTGAGACAGATAGAGGGTATTGGGCCATACCTACTGTCTGCATATCTGTGCATGCATGCGCATACTGTGTGTGTGCGTGTGTGTTTGTGTGTTTGTGTGCTCATGTGCATGTACGCATGTGCATGTGGTGGTTGCATTTGCAGGGTAGGGTTGGTATAAAGACCAGAGAAATAAATAGCATATGCAACAGCACATAAATATCAGTTTGAATGAGAATTTGAATCTTTTAACAGCAAGTCCTGTGGTCTATCTTCCAGAAGCAGTTCATTTGAAAAGTGCTTTTATTTTTCTATACATTATCAGAACAAGCTTGGAAAGGCCATATGAGGAGAGCACTTTAGGGTGACACACACCTTTACACTATGGGTGTCTCTACTCACCTCTATGCTGCTAGGGCACATTTCACAAGGTGCCACTAAGAGAAATCTCTATCACAGACACCTGTGGGGACAGTGAGACTTGTGTTTTAAAAGGAGGATTCCTGGACCCCACCTCGGACTTACCGAATCATAGTCATAATACCCTCTATCGTTGTTGTCACAAAGGCAAGATTTCATTCTTTTTACGGCTGAGTATATTCCATTGTATGTATATACACTACATCTTCCTTATCCATTCATCTGTCAATGGACACTTAGGTTGCTTTCATATTTTGACTATTATAAATAATGCTTCAATGAACATAGGAGTGCATGTATCTTTTCAAATGAGTGTTTTTCTTTTCTTCCAAAAACACCTAGAAGTGGAATTACTGAACCATATTGTAGTTTTTAATTTTTTGAGGAAACTCCATACTGTTTTCCATAGTGGCAGCTCCAATTTACAGTCCCATCAACAGTGCACAACTGTTCCCTTTTCTCCACATCCTCACCGACACTTTTTATGTGTTATCTTTTTAGTAACAGTCATTCTGACAGATATGAGGTGAAATCTCATTGTTTTGATTTGCATTTCCCTGATGATAAGTGATATTGAACATCTTTTCATATTCCTTTTGGCCATTTGTCTTCTTTGGGAAAATGTCTCTTCAGGTCCTCTGCCCATTTTTAAGTCAGATTAATTTTTGTTTTTAATTTTGAGTTGTAGGAGTTCTTGGCATATTTTAGATATTAAACCTTCTTTGAGTCTGTCATTTGCAAATGTCTTCTCCCATTCAGTAGGCTTCCTTTTGTTTTGTTGACAGTTTCCTTTACTGTATGAAAACTTTTTAGTTTATGTATAGAAACATATAGATTTCTGTACATTAATTTTGTATCTTGTAACTTTACTGAATTCATTTATTGGTTCTAATAGTTTTTGTTTTGTTTTGTTTTTTGGTGGCTTGTTTAAGACTTTCTAAATATGATATCATGTCATCTGCAGACAGTGACAGTTTGAGTTGTTCCTTTCCAGTTTGGCTTCCTTATATTATTTTTCTTATTTAATTGCTTTGTCTAGGACTTCTAGAACTATGTTGAATAAAAGTGTCAAGAACGGGCATCCTTTTCTTGTTCTTGATCTTGTAACAAGTGCTTTTGGATTTTCCCTGTTGAGTATGATGCTGGCTCTAAGTTTCTCATATATGGTCTTTATTATGTTGAGGTATGCTCCCTCTGTACTCTGTTGAGAGTTTTTACTATAAGTGAATGTTGAATTTTGTCCAAAATTTTGTCTGCATCGATTGAGATGATCATATGAGTTTTATTCTTCAGTTTGTTAATGTGGGGTGTCATAGTGATTGATTTAAGGATATTGAACTATCCTTACATCCTCAGGATAAATCCAGTTATAAATAAGCTCACAGTAAATATAAATATATTTAAATATAAATATTAATATAAATATAATTAAATATATATATTCACAGTATTTCACTAAGTTTTTCAGAGTCTTTTTTAAATGAAAATCCATTGTTGTAAGTTGAGTTATTAACAAGTTTTAACAATAAACCTGATTTTCAACTTTGAGATTGTTTGTATTCTGTAAAATTTTGGGCTAATGTACTCCTCTCAAGAAATGCAGGTATCTCTTATGAATTTGTGCCAATGGATGTCATAGTGTCTTGCACTCATAATAATTGTGTTTAATTATTTAGTTGTTTGGTTATTTTTTTCCCTTTGATTAAAAAGAACATTGCTTGAAATTTTGTTCTTTTCCATGTGTTGTATTTTTATTGATAGCTGATAGGCTTTAAAATCCATGAAGACAAGGATCCTTTTCCCTATATGGAGCACAGACCTGGCCTTGTGTAGATGTTCCATAAATGATTATTGAGCAGATACATAAATGAACATTTCTCTGAACCTCATTCTACATGTGAAGATGGGGGAGCCATTTTACCAAGTCCTTGTGATACTGTAACCAAATTCCTGTGCATTTCTACCTGAAAAAAATGTTAGTCCCTCCAGATTATCCTACTTTTTAATTATCTCCATGTATGACTCATAAGAACAGTAGAGTATTTTCCATTGTCTTCAGGCTTTCAGAAAGGTTTAAATTGGATTCATGGGAGTTTCTTACTAATAAATAAGGGAGCAGAATCCCTGGCTTGTGAACAGTGACAGTCCTTTAAGGGGTCCATCACTAACAGACTGCCACTCCTTTCTTTCATTTTATTTAATCCAGAACATCACATTTTACAGATAGGATGTATGATGATGCCACATTTAGTTTTCTGTATTTTTAAGCAGCATTTATTAACAGGATATGTACTGTGATTCAAACTGATGTAATGAGCCAGACCAGTAACAAAATGTCCTTCATTCTCTGCTTGGTTAATAAATATTTCTTCTGCATTTTGTTATGGGATAGCTAGCAAAGGAAGCCAGAATTTTTTGTTCCTTTAAAAGAAAAATGTCAGTGAAGAAACATTGGATTTTGGGGTATAATCAGCAGCAGCTTGCTCATTAGTACTGCTTAGATTGGAATCATAAAAAAGACATAGAAAAATGAGAGCTGTGATGTTATGAGAGAAAATTTCGGTAGATCCTTAACAGTTTAGGTGTCTTTTTAAAACAAATATTCTCCTATTCTGTGCCTAATTCCCACACATATATCTGAAGAGACAGCCTCTTCCTCACTCTCACCATCTTTTACCTCTCATCTAGAACAGTAATTCCCATCTGTGTTCCCAGTACCATCGATGTCAGCCAGCTTATCCTGGAAAATTGTTAAAAATACAAATTTTCAAGCCCTACTTCAGATTTACCAACTTGGAAACTCTGGGGGTGGGACCCAGCAATCTCTGTTTTAATAAGCTTTCCAGTTGATTATGATACAGGCTCAAGTTTGAGAACCACTGTTCTGGAAAGAGAGAAATGGCACCCTTATTTTGGTGATTAAATTCAAGTGAATAAGCAGAGGTTCAAATTCCTTTACTTTTGCAAGGAAACCTTTGGCTTCTTTCCCTGTGTGATGTGTTTAGTTTAATTCGAGAAGGAGTATGACTCATGTTTGACTCTGGAAAGGTGTTTTTATTCTTAAGGAACACAGACTAAAGTCCAAGTGAGAAAAACATATTTTGCTCATTTTTTTTTTAAAGTGAATGTCACTGGCATAACCACATCACTCTTGAAACTGGCATTAATTCAGTTACTGTTGCTTCCTGAATTGCTGCCATCACTGTCATGTGACAGCCAGCTCTCCCTTCAAAGCAGAATTATCCTGGCCTCTTGTTTTCCTTCACTTTGTAATTAAATCTTTCTTCTGATTATTTCACATTTAATTGCTGTTAACACTATCTTCAAAGATGGATGGGACAGAGTAAGGAGTTGTCACCTTTAGATTATATTTAAAAGGAATATTAAAAAGCAGAACCACTCAATCCAAACCCCTAATGGTTCAGGTAAGGGAATGGTGTTCAAGAAAGTTAAGTGTCTTGTAAATTTTGGATCTTTGGTGGTTTAGCAGAAAACGTTTACCACTGTTTGTTGTTAGCAATTCTTTTGCATAGTTAGGAAAAAGATTTTAGAGTTACTAAGATATTTGTTGGTGTGAAGCCATACTGACCTTACCTTTGCCTTTTTCTTATTGTCTTCATTTTTATTAACAGACATGAACAATTGAAAGCTTCCTGCAGGATTTGTAGAGGTAATTACTTGCTCAAATGTTGCCAAGAAGAAAGAAGATTCATTCCAGGACTTTTTTCGTGTGTGTCAGAATAATTCTAGTTCTTAAAAATGGATATGAACAATGGTCCATAGTACAATTGAAAGCGTCAGTACAGAGCTTAGTTCTTTTTTTTTTCCTCTGTTGTTAATCACTTAAAATGGGTAATTAACTCTCAAATTAATCCCTGAAAAATTAAAGGAACATCTGTCTGGTGAAGTGCATTATTTTGGATTTTCCATATAACAGAGGTTACCACGTGGGTGCTTGCTGGGCTAGAAAAATTTGAACCTCCGCCTCTGTTTTCCCTCCTTTTTAGTCAGCCAAACAGTGCTCATTCTGAATCGAATACCTCCATCTGTAGTAATGCTGGCAATCTGAAGGCTGCAGTTGCTGAACAGTGATAGCAACTTTCTGACTTACAATCTTGCTCTAAATTCAGAGAGATGGATCATTAGATTATACAGTCAGAAGCTTGCGATTCTGAAGTACCCAGAAGAAGTTCAGTTACAGCATTAATTTGATATAAAAATAATTACTGAAAAGCGGTTTTAATAGTCTAAGAGATCAAGGGTGAACTTTGGTTGATTATCTGAGAGTCATTCCCCGCCCCTTGGCATACTCCCGATATTATGTAGGCATTCATAGTCCCACATGCTTCACAGCAGTGCAAGGCATGCTTAGAAGGACCAGCATCACCGGGGGGCTTGTTGGAAATGCAAACGCATGGGCCCTGTCTTAACTGCTGAATTCTATATCCCAGAAATCTGTTTTAATAAGCTCTCCAAATAACCCGAGTGCACACCCAAGTTTGAGAAGCACTGCTTTTGGCGGGGTTGATTGTATGTCTTCCATTCTCTTTGCCAGTGAATGACCTATCAAGCATGCATAACCAAATTCTGACTGATCTGACCTAAAGATATCTCTTCTATGAGGCTGCTGGGAATACTTTTTTGCTATTTGAGGGAAACAAAAGTTACACGATAGACCCATTTTTTGTCTTTGAACATTGGTCTAGGAAATGTGATACCTGGGACTCTTGCAGCCATCTTGTGACTGTGAGTGTCACAAAGATGCAACCAAGTCAAGCCACCCTACCTCAGGGCCTCTCATTTTGTGAGATTTTTAAAACAAATAAAAACCTATTACTGCTTAAAGCAATAATTTTGATTTTTGATTTCAGTTTTTCGTTTGTTTAGTTACTTGTTTGTTCACGGTGGCCAATAGCTAAGTGCAGTTGAATACACAAGGTCATGTATAGCATTTTGTAAATAAATCTTATGGTTGATTTGGTGTTAAGACTGAGGGTAAAAAAAGTCACCTCTTTTTATATCACTTCTGTTTTGAAAACCCTTTTTCAAAATGGTTAGAAAAGTATAATTTTGAGAAATTTTTTAAAGTTATATTTACCCCTGCTTTACAGTGCTAATTGGCATATAAATAGAAGCTGTCCTTCTGTTAATATTTCTAGGTAGGAGCATCAGTGTAATTATTTAGTTATTTAACTATTATTTAGTTTACCTTGTTTCTGTCTTTGAAGCAGCATATAGCATCAGGGAGGAAATTGCAAACTATATCCAAGGCTGAAAAATCTTGAGTTCCCACCGCTTTCTATAAAATTCCCTACCTCCTCCTGATGAGCTGCTTTTTTTTTCCTGCTTATTATTCTGAATGTTCAAGTAACATTTGAGTAATCAGTTTCTGAGCAATTGCGTTGCAAAAGAATTTTGAAATATTTCAGAGTTGTAAATCATTCGTGTATACTTACATATATATGTATTCTACAGTTTAAACTTTTTCATATTGTGAAATCCTTTATGAACTTTTTTGTAACATACCCCTCTGTATTTCCCCTTTAAATCTATTTAGCTATACCTTTGAAAGCTCATTTTTGTTACTTTCAGTTGACATTTGTTTATCCTTATATATGTATGATATATGTTAAATTTTTTGCAAAGAACAATCTCAAAAACTATGTTTTTGCATCTAAATATATACACTTAGATACCTGTTAGGACTTTGTAGTCTACCCTGTTTAAATATTTACCTCTAGTTTTATTTTAATTATAAAATAACATGGAAATGTATTCTTTGTAAATGGCTGTCTAGTGTGGCTAGTTAAATATTTTACTAATTTATTTCTAGCTTGATAGAATTGTGCTCTCTGATTTCAATTATTGAAGTATGTTGAGACATACTTTATGGTCTAGTGTATAGTTATTTTGTTTTTGTTTTTGTTTTTGAGGGGGAGGTAATTAGGTTTCTTTATGTATTTTTAAAATTAATTTTTCATTTTATTTTATTTGTTAGTGGAGGCACTGGGGGTTGAACCCAGGACCTTGTGCATGCTAAGCACGTACTCTACTGCTGAGCTATCCTCTCCCCCAAGTATATGGTCATTTTTTTTTCATAATTGTTGCGTATGAGTTTAAGAAATTTTATGTATTTTGGAAAAAAATTTCCCCAATATTGCAAATATATTTTGTTTGATAAATTGCTAATTATCCTTCAAGTTCTGCTATGATGTCACCTCCTCAGGGAAGTCTCTCCTGACAATTTCAGGCAGATCCTTCATCTGGGTTCCCTCAATAATATTACTTTGAGATGGAATTGAAATTTATACATTTATGTGAATATCCTCAGAGCATAAGATGCTAGGTCAAAATTAACTAATAATTGATCTTTACTATTGTACCTAATCTAATATTGCACCATAGTACACATAGTAGGCACTCAGGAAAGATTTCTGGAAGGAAGGAAAGAAGAAAGGAGGGAAGGAAGGAAAGAAGAAGGAAGGGAGAGAAGAAAGAAAGAAGGGAAGTGAACAACAGAATGGCGAAATTTCAAATTTAATCATATACTTAGGACTCTGCAAGGTTGGCTTCTATAGTTAGACAATGCTGTCACCAAGACAAAAAAAAATCATCTTAAGGTTGCTAAATAAAGAATGCACAATTTGAAAAGAAGAAATAATTATAGCCAGCACTGAGGTGGTGTTTTCTGTATCAGGCCCTTTGCTGAGCTCCGCGGTGGGTGTATGGGGGGCTGGGAGTGGGAGGGTGTGAACTCACTGGATCCTCACAATAGCTCTGTGAGGTGCATACTATTATTTATCATTTCTATTTTTCAGACGCTGAGACTGAGGCACAGAAATGTTGACTAACGTTCCCCAGATCAGAAGCTAGAGAGGTGCAGTGCTGTGATTTTTATCTAAGCAGTCCTGTTCTAGAGCCTGTGGTTTGAACTCAATAAGTACAAAAAGGAAAAGCTCAAATTTTAGCAATTTTGAGAGAAGAAGGAACAAAATTTGAAAAGTCTTTGGGAGGCACCTTTGTCTTCTAACCCTCGAATGGCGTTTCCAAAACTCCATGTCCCAACCATGGTTCTGCCCTCTGCTCCCGGAGGCCCAGGGCCAGAGTCATTAAACCCACTGGAGAGAAGGGCGTTTTCCCTTTGTTAGAGGGGAGATGGGGGATGATGTCTGAAGAGCAGGGAATAAGCCCTGTGTAGTCAAGGGGAGTTCACAGGTGCCTTCCTATCCTTTTGTAAATTAGGTGAGGGGTGTAAAACTCTCCATCAGCCCAGGCGGTGTCCATGCCAGGTCACAGTGAAGCGGACCCTACTCAGAACAATAAATATTTATGGACCTATTGTATTCTCAGCACCTGCTATGTCCCTAAATTACTTTAGTTTTGAAAAATAGGAAGATCACTTTATTCTTTGAACAGCTGGCGTGAGAACTTTTCTTCAATAGAAGACTGACTGTGTTGGGAAAATTCCTTGCTGATACTTGGAACAGAAGCTGAAGGCTGAGTGTGGGGGAGGACGCTGAAGTGCAGCAGGGCAGAAAAGGAGCCCTTGGCTTCTCCACGGAGGAGGGGGAGGATGAGCTCTGTGTCTGTGTGTGCGCGTTGGAAGTATCTGGATGAAGGTCAGAGACCTGGAGAAATTGGACCGTTGCGATAGGATGTAGCCCTCATCTGATCCCCTCAAATCTCAAGTGAATTCTAGAAAAACTTGAACTGCAGTGAGTAGCATTCTTGTGGAGAGCTGTGTCAGGGCTGACTTTGAGCTCACTCTGCACAGGTGCGGAGTAATGACCGTGTGTCTGGATAAAGCTGAGGGAAGGAATTAGGAGAAATCTCAGAGGCTTAAGTCTTCCTCAGGTTGTCCGTTGAAGGGTCAAAGCAATTCTCCATAAACTCTGGGGATGTGGAATCCCAGCTGACAGCTAAGTTGTGGTTCATGAAGCAAAAAGACAAAACCATGCCCCGAACATTTAAGGTCCCAAGAAGCATTTTCTGCTTAACGTCTTGGGAGAAGGAAAATGCTTTAGTCCCACATCTTTATATAAACGAGTTTCTTCAGGCCTCACCGCTCTGATGGTGCAGAGGGAATCAGTTGGTTGGTGACAATCCAGCTTCCCTGGTCCTTCCCTCTAGCTGCAGTTCCTTGCAGTTTCCCACCAGTTCTTCCCGAGCGACCCTGAGAGGGCCGGAAGTGTGTTCCATGTGTCCAGATGAGCAGGTCAGCTCCCTGGGGCCATTCGTGGTTCAGCTGGGGATCGAATGGCTCTGCCCGTCCACCAGGCATCTCCTGCCACAGTTCTTGGACACTTCACTACAGGAAGCTGAGATGGATTCCAAAGCATTTGTCCTGGTTCCCACCGAACGTTGCTCTCTTAATGGAACTTTTTAATTACTATTATTATTACTGCAGCTTTTTATTATTTTATTTTTCTTTGAGTGCTACTTCGAACCCCGTACCTCTGCCTTCTAGAGGAGTGAGACAAAGATCTAGAGGGAGAAGCAGCTGCCCTCGAAACCTCTCTCCTCATTCGCTGACTAACGCTTTTCTAAAGCTTGGTGTCTTGGAGAAAGATCTTTTCTCCACTTCTGGCTGTTGTACAGAGGCTTATTCCCTAAGCACACCCCTCGCTCAGCCTCACCCCTGTGTTGACTCTTGGCCTGGGAAATTGATGT